AGGAGTCCAGCCAAATTTTGGTCGCTCCTGCGCTCCCTCTCCGGCAAATCAGCCAGTTCAGCCACAATCATTGCCATCCCAAAGCCGGGCAAACCTCCGTCCATGAGCTCCTCATACCGACCCATCTCCCTACTGTGCCCATCTGTAAAGGTGTTGGAGCTTCTGCTCCTCCCCTCCCTCAATGCTGCATTTCCACTGGCGGACTCCCAGCACGGTTTCTGCTCCCTTTACTCCACAACATCTGCCCTACTTCCTCTAACCCAGGCCATAGCTACAGGCTTCAACCACCCTCGCCCACCAACCAGGACAATAGCGATGGTCATTGACTTAAGCAAGGCTTTCGACACCGTGCTTCACGCCCAGCTCATCTCTCACATCGCCTCCACTCCCCTCCACGCCAATATCACCCGCTGGCTGATCTGCTACATCAGAGGCAGGTCAGCCAGGTGCTCCTACAACAGCTGCATCTCCTCCTCACGTTCGGTCCTCGCTGGAGTTCCACAAGGCTCCGTAATCTCGCCCGTCCTCTTCAACTCCTATGTCTCAGACTTCCCCCAGTCCGCCCCTCTAATCACCTATGCGGACGATTTCACAGCCGCCGCGGGGGCCGTGCAGATCGCCGACGCGTCTGCAGTCCTCTCCTCCCACTCCTCCGATGTGGCTGCATGGGCTCGTCGGAAGAGGTTATCGGTGTCTATCCCCAAATCCCACACTACCCTCTTCACCTCTGACACCCATCAATCACAAACAGACCCTCATGTCAGCTGGGAGGGGTCCGACCTCCCACTTTGTCGAACCCCAAAGATCCTCGGGGTCACTTTCGACCCCCACTTCACCTTCTCGCCTCACATCGCTGCTATATGCCAGAGAGCCTGCCCGCGCCTCAACATCCTCAAATCCCTCGCCGGAACCAGCTGGGGACAGCAGAAGGAAACCCTCTTGGTGACTTTCAAGGCTCTCATAAAGTCTCTCATCACATACGCTGCCCCAGTGTGGTTCCCTAACGCCTCTCCCTCGGCAATCGTCAAGCTGCAAACCATTCAAAACTCTGCCCTCCGCACAGCCACGGGATCTCTTCTAATGGCCTCCGCTTCCCACCTACACAGCGAAGCTGAGGTCTTACTCGTGGCCGAACACCTCTCTCTGCTCTGCTCACAGTTCCTTGCCAGTGCCCTTCGACCACACTATCCCAGCTACCCTATTGTCACCCAGACATCAGGACCCCGTCCCATGAAGCACACGCTTCAGTCCCGCTTCCTCCCTTCGGTCTCTCACCTGCTGGAAGAGGGAAACCTACTCCACCGCCCTCAGCACCCTGCACAGCTCCGCTGTCTCATCCTACCTGGCCTCAGCAGCTCCCAACAAGGCGCTGCTGACCCCTGCTCCCACTGTCTCATCCAGCGAGCTATCCCTGCCCAGGGCGGCCAGAAGCGCCCTTTCCCAGCTCCGCTCTGGCTACTCATCGCGGCTCAATTCGTACCTTGCTCGCATCGGTGCAGCCAACAGCCCACTCTGCCCTGAGTGCGGCGCAATAGACCACTCCACCCATCACCTCTTCAGCTGCCCTTCGCATCCCACCTCGCTGACCCCACTGGACCTCTGATCTAACCCTGGACCGACTGCGGCTTTCCTCTCCTCGCTCTCTTTCCCTAACGCCTCCCCCGGAGCCGCCGCCTCTTCGTGGGCGCCGCCGAGCAGCGGTCCCGGGCAATAACAACAACACGGGACGTCGGCCGCCTGCACGAGAGAGACAGAGAAGAGAAATGTAAGAAATCCTACCTACATAATAACTTGATGTAAGGAATCCTACCTACATAATAACTTAATGTAAGGAATCCTACCTACATAATAACTTAATGTAAGGAATCCTACCTACATAATAACTTGATGTAAGGAATCCTACCTACATAATAACTTAACCCCACAACTGACACCAACAGTCCGACACCGCAAGCTCAGCAGTGGGGCGCTCAGGAAAAGGTATGTGTAAGTAAGTGACTATGTATTTTACCATAAGATCAGTCAATTCAGTCAAAGGAAACTTCGACCTTTACTTAGGTGTATGTTTCTGGATTAATGTCGCCACTCGATAGACCTTGGGGAAAAATCTACTGCGTAAATACAAGCTCCCATTATCGGGTTATGACTGCATAGAACTGATGACTATGCTAAAATACTACAGAAAATTTATTCGTAAATACGAATACTTGATAATTTCTTGTGATAAAGTTAATCGATTGAACATATTATAGTTTTATATTTATTTTATTACCATGAACAAGGCACGCGAGCATCCTGGTTCGTTTTTCAAACTCACTTCTCAGGAATTATGAATTAGCCTATTTGTCTCACGGAAATTTTGACTGCTTTGCCGGAAAACAGGACTTATAATTTCCATTTTGTATTTAAGCGGTGAACGTTGGGAAATGAATCGACATTACGAGCTAATGTAATTCGGATCAACTGGGGCACAAGTCGGCAAAACCAGCTAGACAAAGCTATGCAAGAGTATATATTCAGTTTTGAAATGCCTAGCACCTAACGGACCCTGTAACAAGTCTAGCAGCTAACGCAAAAAATCGCCAGAATGGAAAGATCTGGTTCAAAAGGCGGTTCCCTTGTGAATCAAGTTACGAAAAGTACAAGAATCGGCTAAAGGTCATGGGCCTATTTTTTCAGTGCCGACACTATTCTGTTAGGCTCAAATGTGCGTATTAAACTGTGACACAAATCCGCACCACGATCAAATGTAGTGTGAATCGTCCACCCATCATTCATTTACCTATTAGCAGTTAAATTAACTGAACTGTTAATCATCTCTCAGTAAAATGTATAAGTTCATATCAGTAATAAATTCGACTACCAGCGAGCCAGAGCATTGAGTTGCATTTTCACGGTGATGTATATTTATTTTTTTTAGCTAGGGATTATGCAGGATTCTAGCAGCCGGTACTAATCCCAAGTAAAAGAATCCGCCGGACCTAAATATTGCTCAAATATTTTGAACTGAGTTGTCGCAACACGAATATTGAAGCAAGTATTGGCAGATTTCACAAGAAGACGTATTTGTTCATTCGTACAGACACGAAATGATCACCGGAAAAACTGCTTCTTACCGCTTCTAAATAAATGTTATAAGCATTGAGGCCATAAAATGGAAAATTAGTTCAGACTGAGCAAGAAAACTTCTACATTGTCATCGATCTGTGATATTTAATTAAATTAATTAAACGTACTTCGTTGCTGTATTGAAAACCGTATTTTATCATTAATTATCAAATCGGTCGTTATTGTGGGCCAGAGGTTAACAAATTATTGTGATCGAGTCATCAGTCGACGCATACCTCTAATAGCAAGCAATAACTGCTAAATTTGGAATTATTTGAATTACGAATCAATTTTAATTAATGTGTGAATTATAATCTACTGAGGGGTAGGCTGCCGTGGCTAGGTAGGTGGCGTGTGGCGGCTGCTACCAAGCTTAATAATCTCGTGATGAAACCTGTAGGTTCTAGCGAACCGCAATAAATCTTGGAAATGCCTAGTACTATACAGAACAACAAAGGCTAGAAACGATTTCCGTTGGAAATATTTGATCAAAATAACTGTTTTTAGATCTGTTACCAAGTCACGAAATGTATAAGAATCAGCGACAGCCTTATCCAGGCCTATTATTCTACGCCGAAGATACTGTACTATACCAATACATACTAGTGATACGCGTATCAGACATTATAAACCACTGCTATAACTCTTCATTGCTTGCATAGGTCACTGATTATGGTTCGTATTATCAGAGTTTTTTAGTCGGTCACTCTTGAGGGCACACATAATCCGACAATTATTGCATCGATTACGGCTAAGGATAAGAATTATTTTGAAGTGGGTGAATAGAACACAGCCATTGTTCTGATTAAAGGACATCCCACAGACCTGCCTCAGGTCAACGATTCACGCTGGCCGCTGCGACAGTCGTCCTCCAGATCGATGCCAGCGCGAGTCCGGGACGTCGAACGCGTCAGTTGCTCGCCGACCGCCCGCGCGTGTGAAGGCTGGCGCATCGCTAGACGCGAGTAAATAACGTGGCTATCGACTTGTACGCACGTTTGTGCTCTCAGAAAGTTATCTGAAGTGCAATACATTGAATGCTAATTGACAGCTGCACACAATTATTGCAGGCATTTCGCCGCTGAACTGATGGTGCTGTGATAATATTACCCACCCATTATTGAAGTTTTTGTGCCAGCTGGATTAGTCCCGGCTGCTGGAATCCTGCATAATCCACAGCTAAAATAAATATATTTCACAGTGAAAATGCTACTCAATGCTCTGACTCACTGGTGGTCAAACTTATTACTTATTTGAACTTGTATCTTTTACTGTTTAATGTACTGTCTTTTTCAAAATATTCCTTAACGATATAAGGCCAGGTAGCTTAAGTATTTATATTAACGGTTTATATGCTATATTTACGTGTAAAATTTAGTGTGGTGCAGTCACTGTACAAGAGATGCTAGGGACTGGCTTGCTTGAGCCGAGCAGATCTTGAGAGCCGCGAGCTGACGCTGACCTCAGCTGCTCCATATAACTGCCCGCTGGGAGCAACTCCAGAGATGAACTTCGCCTTACGCACGACTGCTTGACGCAGGATTGTGTGTGATGCAACAGACTGCTAGCGATTTATCTACTAGTTATTTAGCCAACGGTCCATGAATTTTGGTCACTCAATTATCTCCATTGCGCTTTTTGACTACGATTTAGAGATAAAAGATTCTGCAAACATTGTACATTGGCGTTTCAAGAGTAATTACGTTGCACATTCCAGAAAAAAACTAAATTGTTCGAAGCTGTTGGGGTGGGGATTCGGTGCTATGTTGGCTGTTCTACAGATTATTCCCTAAATCCCTAGAATGCTATTTCCTCGTAATTTGATCTTCATGAATTTGTATTTCTTTAAACGATTGGTTAACGTGGCTAAGATATTGGCGTGCCTGGCTTGTACCTAAGCGTTATTACAACTTATAGGTAAACGAATTGATAAAATTTCGTGCCTGTGCATGAAGCAGCGCGACCACAATTTACAGGTCTTCGCGATTTAGATTTTTCTGGGTTAATTAAGATCGCTGATCGATCCTTCGCGCCATGCACAACAAAGCTGACGTTGAACTTAAAACTTTCGTCAAAAATATTTTACGCATTTAATTCAAGTAATAGGTACATTGTTCACTCGAAAAATTTCACGAATTCCGCAGCATCAGCGATATGGAATTCACATTTGATCAATGATTCAAGGGAGTACAACAGCTAATTGCCCCGCCAAGATGATATTACCTGAACAATTAATTTTTTTCAAGCTAGCATCGAATTCCTTACTGGGATGCTTCAACATTTAAATGAAGCCTTTTCTTTTTTATGCGAGTCTGAATTTAGATTGCCACACGACCTGTAGGATGATGATGAGGTGTAGTACCTAGAAATTAGTGGTCAGATCAATCGGCATTATAGGCAACAGAGCGACGCACACGCCATGTTTTAGTGGGTAGCTGTGCATGCAAGCCATATGGAATGATACTCTCAATCATATTTTTCAGACAAAAAAAGTGGTTGACCTCCAATTCCAAGGAACTCAGTGCTACTTTAAGTAAGCACATTCTAGGAGAAATACCTCAGTGACTACATTACGTATTTCTCACAAAGAACAATACAAAACACTTTTGAAGTCGACATCGATCAAACAGTCGAGCGGAGGAAGTTATTTAGTGCTTATCAACTGAGGGCGTGCGCCAGACATTGTTGAACAATCGGAGTATGTAAATGTCTCCACCGTTAGCACAGAACGTCTCGCGTGACGTGGATTCTCAGAAGATATTGTGTCAGCGCTGGCGTACATACATGAGAGAAACAATTAATTAAACGGGAAGGAGAAATGTCGATCTTGTGAATAGTCTGCTTGCCAGAGCAACTTAAAGTAACAAACATAGAATAGCGTTTTATTGTTAGGTTAGAAAATGTACACTTATTATTTTCCGTTGAATATAATGTTTGAACAATTATTAAAATGTTTTAAATTTGATCTTCTTCAACTCACTGTTTCTATTTCTTGACAGGTAAGCTGGAGGAACAGTTCGATTTGACCTGAACTTCGGCTTGCGAGCCTGCCATGATCATCAGGGTGAGTACTACTGCTTCAGTCAGCCTGACAAGCGCTTACATCAATAGGATAAAACAAATACGTGCCTCCAATCATACAAGAGCTCTGCCTAAACAATGACCTGATCAATACAAGAGTCCTACTTGTCGCTACTAACACCGATGTTAGTAACCCTCACGCGACATCACTCATTGTTTAGCAGCACCGATTTTGTTAGCCCTCAGGTGACATCACCCATTGTTTAGCAGCACCGAAGTTGTTAGCCCTCAGGCGACATCACCCATTGTTTAGCAGCACCGAAGTTGTTAGCCCTCACGCCACATCACTCATTGTTTAGCAGCACCGAAGTTGTTAGCCCTCAAGAAGAAAGGAAGAAACGTACAGGCGCTTTTCCATCTATAGAAATCATTTACCAGTTTTAAACATTGATTCAAAACCAAAATATTCTAGTAAATCAATTTTGACATATTCGCTCACTTCCAAAGATAAGGAAACTACTTGAAGCATTTAATTCCCATCACTGTTTAACTCTTTCCCATTTCTACTATTCCAATTTTTTTCAATTTCGATTCTCGTTATTGTTTAAGAATTTATATTTTAAGCGAAAATTGTCACCTTAATTTGATCAATCATTAGTTAATTACCTCACAATTTGATTAGATTAGCCTCATATCTAGATTTTATCTAGATTGGTCGAGTCAATAAGAAACATAAATGTGTTAATCTACGTTATTATATACACGATAAAAAGCTTTCTTGATATCCGTTACTCACGCGAATAATCTGGTTGCAGACGGAGTCGCTTAGGCGGTGGGTCGCGGCAGGTTCGTCGCCCGTCGACTGGTGCGAGGAGAACTACACTGTTAGCAGCTACATCGCTGAGTTCACCAACACCATATCCAACACGCCTTTCTTCACCATCCCAGTGCTTTGTATCATCAGTGGAGTGTGGAGAAGCTATGCTCGTTATGCATCACTTGGTGCTTACGTTCAGTTCTTTTTGATTTTCATGGTTGGCGTTTCAAGCGCTTACTTTCATGCATCGCTGTCGTTCCTTGGGCAGATGATGGATGAGCTTGGCATCCTATGGCTATTGTGTTTTTCGTACAGTTTTTTCGTACCCAACAGATATCGCCCAAAGATTTTCATGGGTTCTCAATCTCATGTGATTGCCTTGTTCGTTGCTAGTGTATTAACAATTGCCGGATTTGCTGCTCCGCAGCTGAACGCATATGCTCTGTTCATCATAGGAACTCCAGTCCTGGTGATGAAGGTGTGCGAGCTCACCCTGTACAGAGACCCCGTAACCGCGAAAATGACACAAGTTGCACTGGGGTGCAGTCTGTTGGGAATATGCGTGTGGGTGGCCGACAAAGTAATGTGTAGCTTTTGGATTTCATTGAAGATTCCAGGATTGCACAATATTTGGCACATTCTCATGTCTGTTTCTTTTTACTTGGACTTGTGTTTGTTTGCGTACTGGAGGTCATCTTCTGACATTCCCACCTGCAAGCCCACCATGAGGTACTGGCCTGGCACGACTGTCGGTATTCCGTACGTGCACTGCAGAAGAAGCGAACCAAAGTGACGAGACACGAAGAATAATTTTAACAGGTCGCATCAGCCAGCCCATGTGAGGGCAAAGCGTTACATAGACAAATAATATGTGTGGTGAGCACTGGGCTACGCTCAATGAAGAAGGTTGTGTCAGGTTAAGGTCTGTATCTTGAGAGTTCAAATGAAACGTAAAACAAAAGAACTGTGATCTCTGGATCATTCTTGTTAACGAAAAAATAGTTGACACTGAAAAATCACATAGGAGAAGGTGTCAAAATCGCAGTTATTTCCTCACTAGCACTAGGTTGTGAAGAGCCTATCACCAACACGAGAGGAGGGAGGGTTACCCCATTCTGAACACTGCACTATAAATGTAAGATCTTTTGCGTACGTTAGGACAAAACAAGAAATACGCAGATTTACAAATAATTCATGTTATACTATTATTACGTCCTGGTCATATTGCATGACATACTGTGCTTAAAACATCATAAATTTAGCAGGTCATTCATCATGGCTTCAAGAGAAGCCAATCATAACGATGGCGAAGAATAATTTTAAGTCCACAAACGGCGATCACGCAACTTGAACCATGTTCAGAAGTAAAACTCTAAGCAAATGAACTAACTGTTGTAAGCACAGGATGTTCACTACTTTTGCATGCACAGCGATCGATTCACGTCCTTACTCGTCGTTTAAACCCTCTACCGCCTGACGTGAGTAACCGGAGCAATATTGTCACAAGCCTACTGCCCAAAAAGAATACGTTAAAGTGAGCGCAAAATGACTTGTACTGATGTTTGCCGCCACATACAACTTTAAAATATTCTCTGTTGAGTACAAACGTCTTCAGGTTGCTGTACTCAATAGCTTACATATAATTTTATTTTAAAATTATGTTCCCGGAGAGTGACATACGGCGATAGAGGGTTAATGACCCACGAACTCGTAAGTGAGCTTTTCAATAGGACAAAATTATCTTAGCTATTACCTATTTATCTCGTCTGTGTTCCTAAATAAAGCAGGAGATGGAACCTTGCCAGCATGACACACCACCAACTCGCTGGATGCTAACGCCTGATCTTTCTATCGTACTTACGATCCCCGGCGTGCAGGTCACACTTTTTACTCCACTGCAATGATAACCAACTTATAGGCCATGTGTTGGTTCAGGTTAAGTTAGTTATGGCAAGATACTTAACCTTTCAGAGCGCAAATTTAATCCAGAATTCAGTGCACACAAAGCTTCTTGTCACGATTCGACGCACATTACGCAGAGCTGTTTATGCACGACTCTCACAATACTAGGGTCGCATTATCTGCCTTAATCAATTTGAACTTCAATCTTATTAAGAGACACGTTGTTCTGTAGCGACGTACTAGATCCAAGCGATAATGTTAAATGAAAGCTCACGAATCTGTAATAAAATAGATTGAAATATAGGTTGTAAGTGACGCTTTTTATTTCAATTTTTAAGTTCCCAATAACGTTTAAGGAACTTGAAGAAACTCGTTGCAGCCACCATAAAGATGCGCAAGTAATTTATACATGTTGACTATTCGCTTAAGGATACAGTGACTACTGGCAAGGCTATTCGTACGTAAAGACTTGGTAACCAGAGTTACAGTCTGTTGAAAAAGTGGTTAAACGTCAGACCTCAAGTTTTTAATAGAAAAAAAATAACGTCTTTCCATCAGTAAACATTTTTTCATCAACATATTCCAGTAGACAAGGAACGTCTCCTGGTTCATAATATGCAAACAAATGAAGGTTGCATTAATACATCTTCCTATGAAATCCAACAGAAATAGCGTCAGCAGAAGATACTGTACGACCTGTGGAATACTTTTTGTAAAGCGCTTTTCACGCTTCACAGGATTAGCAGAAGTCTGCCACTCAAAGTTTGCTCATTTATAACTGAAAAATATGCGTCTATAAAATGTTTTAGAAATAAAAGATATTAGGATTCTGTCATACATAACATGTACGTAGCCTCAAATCTGAAGCCTAGTGCAATGAAGCTCTAAAGCCGACACACATTAAATTCTGGCTCAATCGCTCGCTAATCTAAAGCTTTTTATAGGAAGTACCTTATCAAGTTCATTACTCGTGCACAATAGATCTATCTTCTCGCTTGATGATTACATGTATGTTAATAAATTATTAATTAATGATAATACAGCTTTAAAAAATCTTAGTTATAACATTTCTGCATCCAATGCAACGACTCGTCATCTAAATTTTCTTATTTAATGTCGGGCAAAAATGTCTCTAAATTTAACCTTTACTTTATACGACCACATCAAATAAAATAATGTACACACAAACTTTCTAGTTAACGCAAACGTTTAATTAAAACGGTAATAAGGCCACAAAAAGAACTATTTTAATATAGCTTCATTAAGCAGGATTTCATTTTGAAGACGTTTCTTCCACAGCAACAGAAAATTCGTCAATCAAACTAAATCATTTTAATATCCACTGCGATCTCAATAATTCCTTTGCTTCATTTTAGTTCTTTCGCAATAATGTCTGTATCAAAGACACTAATCTTGTTTTCATTTTTTGTAAATTGTACCTCGAATGTTAATCAATACAAATTTATAATTTGTCAAGTAGCTTCTCATTCTCCTTCATGGTAATGAGTAGGTGCACAAGACCTACCAAAGCACCAAAGTTCTGGCCACGCTGCTTCACAAGTCGCGTAAGCGCCGCCGTATCGCGGCGATGACAACAGCACTTGCCGCGTACCGTTGCCGCGTACCGATGGCAGCATGCGGGGTAGAGTTGAACAGCACAACCTGCCCCGTCATACAAAACTGAGAGCAGCAGCTATCACGATGCTGTTCCCGCATGCTGCGTACAGTTGAACAAAATAACCTGCCCAGTCACTCAGAACTGAGAGCAGCAGCTGTCACGATGCTGTTCCTTCATGCTGCGTACAGTTGAATCGCACAACATGCCCAGCAGCACCCCACAAAGAGCAAGCCGCTGTCACAGACGAACGCAAGTCCTCCTCTAATGCACCACCGAATCAAAGTTGGTAGAGTGTTGGTACGAATTCGAGCTCCATCCTCCTTCACATTATTATCTACGGTACAAGGAATTATTCCCCGCATGTTTCATAATTTATATTACATAAATTTAATTCCCCTAACTAACCAAAATTGGAACTAATTTCACCAAACTTTAAATCAGGAATAATCGATAAAGTAATTATATTACTCATGTGTTGACGACCCGCAAAGATCTACTGGAAGTGAACATTTATGACCAGAGAAATGCTTCAAATGAATAAAAATATAGAAATGAATGTCGTTCGCCCATGGCCGGAAAATTTGAACGACATCAGATCAGTCGAAATTTTGGACCGAACTTGTATGTCAGACAACCATCACCATTTTGATATAGACGGTAGCTAGAGTTATCAGGCGTTAGATACGAATAGCAATGACGACGACCAATATATCCATAAACCAAAAAGTAACAAACATTAAATGATAATAGGGAAGGAACAATTGGCTAATTCCAGGAGAGTATGAGGCTCAGGCGGGGCGCGGCTTGAGGATGAGTTTGCCGGTGTCATCGCAGCTCATGTTGAAGTCCCGGAGAGCGGCCCGCGTGCGTGACGCGATGATAGACGGCGCCATGACCTTACGGTGGACGCCAGACATGAACAGCAGCACTGCAACACAGCACCATTAACGGTAATACGGTGGACGCCAGACATGAACAGCAGTACTCAATATGAACAAAAAATTCAACTCAGTACTCACTGCAGTGAGTGACAGAGAGCGCATTTTCTCGTCGACGAAAACGTGAAGTCATGGACGGACAGACGGACGGACGGACATGGCGAGCACAATAGTGCATTTTTACCATAAATGAGTAAATGCGCTAGAAAGAGCGACTGTACGATGAAAAGAAAGCTACTTCCAGTGACTCAAAGGTAGGGCAGGCTGACACTCGCCATTAATTCATTATACAATACTCTCATATGCAGATGATGGCTAAATTAAGCAGTAGTACACTCTATAATTGTACACTTGTTCTTTCTGTGGGCATGGCAGAGAAGCAGATTGAAAGGCGGCAGAGTCACTTCCAAGCAAGATTTTTGTAAAGACAGCTCAAGTCACTCCCAAAAAGGCAGCTCAAGTCACTCCCAAAAAGGCAGCTCAAGTCACTCCCAAAAAGGCAGCTCAAGTCACTTCCAAAAATGCAGCTCAAGTCACTCCCAAAAATGCAGCTCAAGTCACTCCCAAAAAGGCAGCTCAAGTCACTTCCAAAAAGGCAGCTCAAGTCACTTCCAAAAAGGCAGCTCAAGTCACTTCCAAAAAGACAGCTCAAGTCACTTCCAAAAAGGCAGCTCAAGTCACATCCAAACAAGATCTTTGGTACACTCAAAGCAAACTAGTTTACTGGAGCAGAAAATATGAGCCAGGATGCCCTGAAGGTGGACCTGTACTCAGACCCTGGGTACGTGACATACCAAGGAAGAGTGTGGCGATGGTGAAGAAGTAATGGTTGAGGAGAGAGTGCAGGAAGGGCAGCTGCGTGGTGAGCGGGTCTGCCAGCCACAGCCACGCACCCCAACATGTGGCCGAGGAGGCGATCAGCAGCAGCACTATAAACAAACAATAATTTACTTGAAATTCATCACCAGATAAAAAATTTGTGTTAGAGCATGTGCACTTTAAAATAGCATGAATTGCATCTTCATTTAAACCAAATTAAAAGCCCTGTAAATGGTTAAAGGTGAAATAAAATGTAATAAGTGAGAAAGATTAAAAGAAAAACCCATATTTCTGAATTTAATTGTACTTAAATAATTCGCAATTACTGTAATTAAAATAACAGGAAAACCACAGACTTTTCTTAGTGACAAAACATAAATTTGGATCAGTTAAGAGACATCACTGGAATTGAATGGCAAATATCTGTACAGATTTTCACTATGGTACTATATACCCAAGAATAAGCATTATGAAGATGGTCCACTTTAGTTAGTTGAAAAAGTCTAATTTTTTTTACAGGAATGTTTCATAATGTGGCGCTTATTAAAAAAATTCCATGGATAGTCTTCATGAGAATTTCTTCATTGCATTTCCATTCTTTATGATAACAAGTATGTGCAACCTTTAAATCCCATTGAAACGAAAAACAAAAACTGATTGAATAATCATATGATGGACACTGATGATGGTGTACCATGGATATGAATACATAAAATGAATCTACAGAACTATAAAGGAAAACTGATAACAACAGACATACTATATATAGGTATGTACAATTTAAAGATGGACGATTGCAAATGCAGAGGAATTGGCATTCCTAGAGAATCAAGACATGGACAGTATATACAGGTATACATGACAGGCAGGGTAAAAAACGTTGCATTTAAATTTGTTCACATTCTTGTGCAATTCATGAACCAATCTTGATAGAGTCCCAAGAAACCTGCTCAGAAATGTAAACTTCACAAGCAACTGAGTCAATACTAAAGTGGCTGACAGTATCCAATGATTTAGCTAATGTCAAATCAGTGAAATTTAGCATGGTTCGAAATTTTAAGGAGCAAATGAAAAATGAATCAAAAACAGTTCCATAGCATTAATGACCATTCCCGTCAATAGAAAATCAAGATTACTTTTCTATAAATCACTATTTGCAATTCATTTAGTGAATGGGCACTGTGAATATTTTATTTTACTGATTCATAAATGACGTTCTATAACTTGAAAATTTTCCTTCATATCCTAAATTTGATATCTATGGCTGAAAATAGCCCAGCCCATACTATTCAAGAAAGGTATAAGCATTTTTTATCACACTACATTTAATTCAGACATGACTTCAAGTAAGGAAGAACAAATTAATAGTAAAATAAACCAAAAAACTCACATCTCCATCTGACAGTGGCAGGCTTGAGATGAGCAATAACCTCTGTTAGACGCCTCTCAAATGCTTTCAAATCTGAAAAATGCCAACAGTTTAGGTTGAACACTTGGAACTAACTTACCATTTACCAATTTTTAATTTTCAAGTGGTACAATTTCCAACATTACAGCATGGAAGCCCAAACAAGACAAGAACCTAAAATTTTCTAGTATTTCTGTCATGTTTAATTGCAACAATTAATAGGATAAAATAATATCAATACCTATATTTGCAAAATTCTGAATGTAAAGCTAGTATTAGAGATCAGCCAACAGCATAAAATTGCATTTATTGCAATAAAACTAGATTATTCTTGAAAAAAATCTAACTTGTCTGACACTAAGGCAGCATGGATTAATAAATCAATGAAAAAAATTAACAGCTTCTGAGATATAATTCAAATTACTCCAAAATTCTTGATAAAATAAACCAATAATACAACCAAAAACTTCAATACATTTTACATTTGATACATTTTAGATTGTTCAAGAGAACTCACCTTCACAGGCAGTTTGCTCTAAAGACATAATGGAGAAGAATAAAATGATGTCAGCAAACTCTTTCAATTTAACCCAAAAGACATGTACCACTGTTGAAGGAATCAACATGTAATAGTGAAGATAGGAAGAAACAATATTACAAATAAATACATTATATAGATTTTTAGTAGTTCAAATACTAAGAATTTGGAACCAGGATTAATGGCAGGTTAGTTAGGAGTTTGTTAAATTAGCAGTCAATGAAACCATTATCTTAAACCATGGGCCTTTGAGATCTCATACATCAAGAAAGCAAGCAACATTCAAAGAAATACCAACTATTTTTTTATTTAAAAACATCACAACATATTTAATTTTGGCGCTTGACAAGCCGCCATTCGACTGTGGGCTGATTCGATGCAAAGGATGAATACGGACAGGTTGGTGGCAGTCCAAAAAAAAGTTGGTGGTGTCCAAGTGGTGCAGAATTTTTCTGCACACTGGCAGACAATCCTGAGGCCAGATTATCACAACATCATAACTTTTGTACTTGTGCACAAAAATTACACCCTAATTTTGGCATTATCAAAACTTTTGTATGCAAGACTCATCTGAAAAGCTATTATCAAAACTAATTGGCTAGCTGACCAATCAGAGGTTTTTAATTTGCTGTTCCTATCTACTAGACTAGGTACTATTAACTCAGTCACTCAGTGGCAGTTCGCAGCATATGTGGATGAAAGTAGGTTGTGGCATGTCATTGTCATCTATGTTAACTGAGTAAACTGACTAGGGCGTCAGGCAAGTATGGAGAAATGAGTGAGACGTTGTCCAAACAGCAATTCACTTTTTGTCATTGTTATCAACAACAAATTTTTTGCATCACAGTGAATAATTGCATTATTCCCAATTCCCATTCAAAATTAGAGGACTTTTTTAGAGAGCTACCTAGAATTTAAAACATTTTGTGAGTAGGAGTTGCAACTATCAGCAGAGAAAGAAAGGAATTTGCATACATAGCTAGAAAAATTGCTGGCTTATAAACCTCTACATACGTAGCTAATTTTGTAACAAAAAGGCCTGAAGATATAAGATATTGTTTTACAGAATGATCATATAACTTTTGGATATGAATATCAATATTTGCTTGTTAATTAAAACACAATAGGAAAACAATTTAGCTCTGCATAAACTCGATTGAAAATTTTCCCAAAAACACCATTTAGGGTTTAGCTTTAGCATGTTCACATATTATACCTATGTCAAATTATTGACAAAATAATATTACAAATTTACAATTCACCATGTTGCTGGTAAATCAATAGGGGACTCTGACTCCAGTCTCTGCTTTTGACACCTTTAACTTCCAAGCAGGCATAAAGGCATGTAGGTACAGTCTGTATAGGGCATACAGCTTCTTGTAAGTTGTAACTTTGTAAGTAGCTTTGTTGCACAAGTGTTTTGATAATACCACTGCTAGAGTTACGTCTTCATAGCAGCACTTACGCAACACGTAAGTTGCTACATGTACAATGTACTTGCAATGCATTGTTTTGATAATCTGGCGGCTGGCTCCTGGGCCTGAGTCCAAAGCGCCAAACTATAAGTATAGCAGGCTGTTTTTCTGTCAATCCTGTGGGCTGATTGGTCTACTTCAATAGATGTGATCTGCCGGTTTGCTTGCGGCTGATAATTTTACAGTCAAAAAGTGTTATAGTCAAATGGGGTGAGAAAGGACCAGCCCATGGCGTGCATTCTAATTGCACTGAATTCAATTTGACAAAAGAATATGTTAGAACAATCATTGCCATCTTTTCAGTGTTTGTGGCAACCCTCTTTTGCAAATAATTAATTTCTGATTAATTTTTAAAGAAAACCTATGTAAAGAAGGGTCACAAAATAGTTAACCCTGTTTGGGAAATAAGCTCTGTCTAATGACAAAAAGTTTTTTGGCCAGGTTTGTGGATATAGGCAGGTAACCTCAAGTGATAGGCAACTATTTAGACATACTAGGCAGTCCTACCTGCCACCATCACTGCCTGACATATATTCTAAAATGGGGTAAAAAAGGACCAGACATGGGGTAAGACGGGACCACTAAATGATCCTGTTTTACCACACTAGTGGTCCTATCTTACCCCACAAATGGTCCAGGCTTACGGTACCACACAAATGGTCCTCTATTACCCTACAGATTATCAAAAATAGTTTTTAAATGAATATTTTATTGTGTAGTACATCCAGTATTTTGATCAAAATTTGTATCTTTTGCTCAAACTACATTATAACTTGTTAGCTTTTTTAATTAGAGAAATTTGGTGCACTATTTCAAATTGCATCAAAGCCCTAAGGGATATAGAAAATAGGGATGTCTATTCCCATCAGGCATCAGTGAGCTGCAGAACTATGTGCAAGATTGGCTGGGGAAAAAATCACTGTGTGAAACATGAAAAATAATCATGATCACAACTCTGTGAGAGGGCATGAGCTCATAGTGCAGTGGCAAACCAGAGCTTTTTTGGAATCAGTTCATTTTTAATTTTCCCAAAACTCAAGATTTAAACCAATTTCTTAAGTATGATAATGCTGGTACGGTATCCATGATACTTTACTGGTCTACTTATAGGACTCAAAAATGAACTTGAGGGAGAGTCTAAAAAACTCTCTGCTTTGCCACTATGCATGATACTTTACTGGTCTACTTATAGGACTCAAAAATGAACTTGAGGGAGAGTCTAAAAAACTCTCTGCTTTGTCACTATGCCGGCGGGCGGGCGGACGGTGAGTGACGGTGATGAGCTATGTTTAAAGAAGTGCACCACAAATGCAGTTAGCAAGAAAACACATGACGTTTGACACTTGAGTTATTATCCATTGGTTTTGTTACCAATTTGATAAATTTCCCAGACAATGACACTAATGGAATATACATGAAGCATTTAGCAGTGCTCTACAATGAACCAAAGCCAACCCACTATTACTATGCTTAACAAAGTTTTCAAGTGACAAAAACTTCAATGTGACTGATATTAGAGTTGACTTCCCATAACACAAAACAGTAACAAGTGGTTGTTTAATAAAATAATATGTATCTAGATGGATAATATTGAATATCAGATTTGTACTTTTATTAAAAACCTTGTAACATAAGAATTATCAGTTGGTCCTTTCTTATCCCAGCCTGGTCCCTGGTCCCATCTTACCACAATGGGGTAAGATGGGACCAGCTCACTTTTTTTAATCTGTACAGAAACTTATGTTAGATGCAAAACCTTAAACGTCTGAGTTGTAGCTTAGAAGCCAATTGCATAACTACACCTTGTGATAGGTTTAGGGTTTTTTAGTTATTCATGGTATAGATGCTACAGGCTTGTTAGTGATTTCAGTCCTGTCCTACCCCATCTGACTATATAGAATCTGAGAATATTGCTACTGGAAAGGGCAAATGCTGCATTTAAATGAATGAGATTTGAATATATGTTCATATTTCATCCTGGGTTAGTGTTCACTGACATGCCCTGCACTCAGCCTCACACGAGTTTGTAGGCATGGTGGTTTTTTAGCAAATCCTTGGGCATTTAGCCCCAGCAGACTCCAGCAGGCACTCCGCAGGCACAGTGGCGCTCCGAAGCAGAAAAAACCTAGATCCAGGTTTTTTGCTTCCCACTCGGTTTCTAGATTTTTCATTGACAAACTGGTCCTAATCTAATTTTTTTTTAAAATGGTGCGCTGAAAGCAGAAATCAGTCAACAGTTATAGCCAACTTAAGCCAAGAAAGGGAGAACTGCTACGAGACTTACGCGATGGAGATTGGAGCCATTTACAGGAGATATGAAAGTAGATTACTGGATGCATCACAGCGTGGGAGGTTGTCTGCCGTGCGCGCGGGGGCTGCGAACAGCGAGCCGCCACTCCTCTAATTTAAGTTTGGCGTTCCCAAAACTCAAATTACCAAGGTAATTTAAAATTGATATGTAATTGCACCATGTTTGTAGGCTCCACCAAAGGTCCAGCCTGGGCGGCACAGCCTGAAGCTTCTTCCAACCAAAATGGTCTTATCAATATGGGAGAGTGAGTTGCTACCTCACAACAAGCAAAACTCCTGTCCTGTGGGCATATGTCTGAAGGATCAAAAATTAAGAGTAATATTGAGGTGAGCAGCAACAATCTTTACTAAGGGCAGTCACAACAAGCTGTACACTAAAGACTAAGTAAAGAGCTGATCCCAAAACAACTGCAGAGAGTGATTCTGCTCACATCAAATTTGGCACTCAGTTTAGACTTTAGTGCAAGTTGGATGGAACTGAATCTGAATGGGATGTGGGAGTTAGTTTCCCACAAGTTTTAGTTGGTTAGTTATATCCGAACTAGAGATTTTATATCAGTGCTTATAATGTATGAAGAGTTTTAGTAGCAGATAAAAAAACATAAAAATGTGGCTACGGCATCAACTATTTGATTCTGGATGGGGCAAAGTCCATTCTTTGCGACAGGCATCCCAGATCCCACTACAACTAGGAGCTAGGCAGAACCTATGATGTCCGCACTTGTAGAACTTTTAGTCTGCACTGGTTCTCACTACTCAACACCGTGAACGTCATGCTTGACGACCAAACCGACTTGAGAGTCAGCAATTTGGAAAAATTACGTTCTGCCTTATAAGCATTAAGCATACTTTGCTGTATGACCGTGGGCGCTGGAAAACGCAATGGATCTGCATAAAAGTATCGATACCTATTGATGATGAATTGGACATCATCAGGAGCATGCAAGTTATGAATTTGGCCATGGCTTAAGGCCGGAATAAGAGCAGGATCTCCACTATCTCGGTCGGAAAAATGCCCCATTAAGAATTTTATTATAAGAAATTATTTTATCATCTTATTGTATGTGCAATTTTTTGGTATCAGAGGGGACCCTTGCGGAGGTCCGATGTCCTTTCCAGTTATTAAAAAAATTAGGTTCGCCAAACGGGATCCCCTGTAATTACAATTACAAAGTCAGTTAATAAATTTATTGATATGATTGTATATTTTTTATCGATCAATAATATTCGGAAGAATAGATTCTAACTTATAAAAGGAAAAGAACAATAAAAATGCGGTCGTGAACAAACAAAACATGCACTAAGATATCAACTTTCGTTCACATATCTATATTTTTGCTGCAACCG